AGTTCTTTGACTTTGAGCATACTTTTGAGTAATAGAGAGAAAGAGAGAGAGAGAGAGAGAGAGAGAGAGAGAAAGAGAGAGAGAGAGAGAGAGAGAGAGAGAGAGAGAGAGAGAGAAAGAGGGAGAGAGACAGGGAAAGAGAAAAGGAGAAAAAGAGGAAACAGACTGCTCCCGCCCCACCATCCTGACCCCTTTTCTTTCTTAAAAGGAACAAACTTATGATATTAATTATTATAGAGCTTTTGTGGCGTTTAGTCGGTGTGGGGTTCAGGCAAGTTGCACGAGACTTTTTAGGGAGTTGCACTTGTATTTAAAAAAGAGATAAAGTTCTCAAGAGAATGAAAGTGAATTTAGATTCTTATTGATTTTATTGATTTGAAAGACCTTTGGCCCATACATCCACACATTATAACATATGACTCGGCAAATACATAAATTGGTGCGGCACATCAGATGATTTAAATAAATTGGGTACGTCTCCCTCCCACCCACCCCCCACCCCCGTCCCACCAACAGAAAATTAAAAAAAAGGAAAATACCCCCTCCCCCCCAAAAAAAGAAAATTGTTTAAAATCTTGCAGTTTTAGTCACAGCGCCAAATGCTTTCACTTTCACCTCTCTATCCCCTATCCTCTACACATCGGACAGAGATGCACCTCAGTAAAACTAGAATTATACAGTTTTAAGAACACAAATGCTCAGATTACCTGTATCGTTTATTGAGTAACTTTTCCTCATCACCCCCCCCCCCAATCTTTTATCTATTCCCTCTGACACTAAGCCAAGGGTTCTGTTGTGAGAAAGAGGGCTTTGATCTGAGCCATGCATGATGAGGATAATCGTGATGAAGACAACGACTACGATGGTCATTATCTTCATCTTTTTAGAAGCTGAGGTTGGTTTGTGAAGTGTTCCTGAATATATACATGTAATGACAACTAGAAGTAGAAGATATCATAGATATAATATGTTGCAGGTATCTTGGAGTAACTATGTACCGGTATACGAAGCCTTTAATAATTTAACACATGTATGGTAATGCCTATACTTTATGTGAAGAATAATTAGGAAAAATAAATCTTGCTCACACGGACATTCAAAGTTCAGTTGTGCCAATACCCATACCGAGACGGAATTCTATAAGCTTATTTTAACGCTACAGGTATGCGAAAACTTTTCATAAGTTTGCACCTGTAGTGGTAGGCCTAGTGCCCATTTATGTGAAGAATATTAATAGGAAAAAGTAGTCAAGCTCACAAGGACATATCCAGAGTTCAGCTGTCCCCTACACCTTTACAGAAACGGAATAAATATTACTTCCTCTGAGCTGTCTTTTATAAGCCTTTGTTTTCGTGAACTTTACAAAACCGTGGGGAACAATAAGCACCTGTAGCCTACATTTCATCTCTCGCTGGTTTTTTTTTTCTCTGCTGCGGTAGCAGTAGCAGCAATGACTGAGACGAGATATACAAGAGCAATCAATACGACATGTACTTGAATGTCCCAAGGTTAGCAAACGACAGCTGTGAACGCTAATGAAACATGACGAGGCGTATGATATCCGCTGTTAACAACATGGCCAATCTTGAGTCTCTCGGATTTGGAGGCCAAAGGTTTCAGCCCAGAGAGGAAAAAGAAAAATCTTGGTCAGCCTTTTGAACGCACCGATTAGAGAAAAGGACTACAGGTGTGTGGTGCTGACCTTTCGGGGCGGGCAACGTTTACAGGCAACATACGAGATAGGTGAGTGGAAGGGAAGTCCTAGCCATAGACAGAACCAGTCCCCCAAAACATGTCAATGCCGCTATCTTCACAAAGAAAGGATGGTAGTAACGCCATGAAATCATACGCTCGTATCTCTGGCAATAAGAGCTTAGAATTAATAATGGCAGAGTCAATTCTATTAGATGGCAACAGCCAAGAACCGTTTGGACCTAGTACTAGTTACCAACATGGGCACCCAGCTTCTTTCGGTTTATCATTTTATTGACCTATAATAATAATAATAATAATAATAATAATAATAATAATAATAATAATAATAATAATAATAATAATAATAATAATAATAATAATAATAATAATAATAATAATAATAATAATAATAATAATAATAATAATAATAATAATAATAATAATACATTGTGTAGGCCTACTTGTTTCCTTAGCTCACTCTGTCCTTCTTCCCACTTCTATTTTTATTCATGATTTCATCCCCGGTCAAAGAATTAGGCTTTCCATCTTCTGGTGGTCAGAATGAAAAGACTTTAGTTTAAGCCTAAACCCATTGTTTCGTTTGTCGCCTCCGCTCTTTCCCTGAACGTCATAGCTCCTCTGTCATACTGGATCAACAGCTGTGCTCATCCAAAAACCATTGTTTGGTTCAAGGTAAATTGCTGCCTAGCGTCTGTTCTTAAACTTAAAGCACTTATTTTTCCTTTTGGTTTTTCTTTTCTTTTCTTTATTTATATGTGAGGCAGCGTGGTGGAATCAGGCTCTCGTCAATTTTTGGGCATGTAGAGTTATTGGTATCATCTTAAAGCCTGTACACTTGTCTTAATTTGGATGAAAAAAATATCCATTTATCTTGAATACAAGTCGAGATATTTGCGAATGAAGGAGGCGGGGTTACCTGTTTTCAGAGGCAAAATTAGTGAGAAAATGGCCGCCAAAGATTAGTTATTTCCTTAGCTTAAGAGTTAACATTTTTTGTGCCTTTAATCAACGTTTGTAGGAAAAATCCACACATAATTTAGTTCTTTAATGGGCATAAAATGTGTTGAGCCAAAAAACACAAATTTTATCAAAATTCACAAACCTGCGGAAAAATGCAAGCTTTTTCACTTCGATTATTTGGACGAGAGCCTGATTCCACCATGTTGCTTCACATATGTTGCTTTTTTCTTCCTCGGTCAAAGCCGTCTCGATCAGCTCTCGTGCCAGCAGCGGCAAGGAGCCACTCATGCGCCACATCCATTGCTCACTTCAAAGAGAAGACAAAGGCTGCATCCTATTTGGCGTTACTCAATAAGGGCTTTCTGTCCAGCTCCTTTCCCTGCCAATTTGTAAACTAAAGATCTAGCCCAAAAAACAAACAAAGAAAAAAAAGAAGACCCCTGCAACTCAAGGCTTCGACCCACATTCGAAATGCTCGGACCATATTTCTGTCTCTAATTATGGTCTTGAAAGTTTGCCAAACTTTATTTTTGCTTTTTGTCACACA